ACTGCCATCTCCAATCACCAAGCCCCCGGTCCTGAATAACCGAACCTCTTGCACACTCTCACAGCCCTCTTCCTTTCCCTACATACGGTCTCCCTTCCTTTCTGTTCCGTTCCGGCCTTTAAGCCGCTCGCTCCCAGTGCTCAGGAGCGGCGCGACTCAAGCGAGGAGCAGCAGCCTCCTCCCAGTCCCCTCCCGGCTGCCCCAAGCCGCTCGGGCCTCCCGCCGACAGGGCCCTCCGCCCCACCAGAGCCCAGCCAGGACAGTCCCCATCAGCCTGCTGAGCAAGCGAGGCCGCAGCCCGCTCCACGGCGGCCCAGCACTCACCCTCGGCCAGCAGCGCGGTACACACAGAGATGAAAACGATGAGGAGAGTATCAGCAAACATGGTGCTCATGATGATACCACCACCCCCCTACCCCAATAACGCCACCGAGCTCCCGGAAATGGACCCCGCCACCCGGAAGCTGCTGGGACAGGTCGCCCAGCAACGGGCGGAAGCTAGTGCTAGCGCTTCCGGAGCCGCCGCCGGTTGGTCGACACCGCTTTGGGAGGGAAGCGCGGGAAGAGCGAGGGGCGGGGAAAGTGCCACCAGGCGCTGCAGGCTTTTGATGGTGGCGGCGGTGGCGGTGGCGGGGCGCCGCGCCTCCGCTCGCCTCGATGGGGGCGGCCTCCTGCTGTCATGGGTTCGGGTGGGTGCCCCCGGACACGGCGCTTCATGGAAAGTGGCGGAGGGACCAGATGCTGTCATCGCAGCCGAGGTAGCCGGCCTCCTGTCCCAGCACCCTCTGAGTCTAGGTGCCCGGGCCTAGCGCTGGGTCTGCAGTGGGGTTCCTTCTGCCAGCACAGCCCTCCCCGTGTCTTGCCGGGCAGTGATGCTCCGTACAGGTCCTCCTGAGCTGCTCCAAGGTTGTTTCCAGTGTAAGATGTGTGAGGCACCTGTTTTTCATGAGCACACTCCTCACAGTCACAAAGGGGTTGGCTTAGAGCAGCCTTTCCTGGTTTCTGAAGTTGCACCCAGGCTTAATTTGGGAATGGCATGAATATCCCGTTAGCACACAGCAGCAGGAGGTATTTTCTGGGATCAGATATTTACAAATAGGGTTGCTGCCCTTTTCCAGGATTCAGTGCTGGCTCCTGTGCTCCAACAGTCAGCAGCAGAGTACTGTGTTAATGATTCAAAGGGCTGGAATTAGGAAAGTAAATCTTATCTTTCTGTGCATGTGTAAAATACTCACATATGGGATGAGACTAAGAAGAACAGTAGCAAGGACAATGAAATAATGGCACGGATTTAGCAAAGAGACTAATTGACTTTTGTCAAGGTTCTGGCGGTTGCACCTGGAGCAGCAGAACTAGACCAAATCCACAAGTTGTAATGGGGCAAGGAGACCTAGAAAGCAAAAATACAGAAAAGGAAACAGTGCAGACAGGGAAAAGGCGGGTTTGTGCCTGTCCTTGTGTAACAGAAATTTGCTGTCAATGAAGAGTGATGCAGATATGCAAAGCTGGGTGGAAAATAAGGTAAAAAGCCCTGCCATTGCCTTTAAATTAAACACTCCATTCAGAAAGAGGGTGACAAAACATAGTTCAGAGAAGGCAGCAGCAAGTAATAAGTGAGGATGTGAGATGAGACGGCAAACAAACCCTGGTGGGATTTGCATATAAGGAAACACAAAAGCCATACGTGCAGGTGGTTGTGCAATGAGTCAGGCCATCACTGAAAGTGGCAGCTAAGAACCCTCTGTGCCACAAGAAAATCCTGGCACTGCCTCTAGACCCTGGTGGTTTCCTGCAGCATTGGGGGAGAACGGAGAGCAGAACCTGGTCATACGCAACAGGAGTCCAGTGAGAGTGGAGACATCAGGGAGACAGGGACGAAATTAAGGATTGTTATCACAGAATCATCATAGAATGGTTTGGGTTGGAAGGGACCTTAAGATCATCTAGTTCCAACCCCCCTGCCATGGGCAGGGACATCTTTCACTAGACCAGGTTGCTCTAGTCTCTGTCCAACCTGGCCATGAACAGTGCCAGGAACGGGGCATCCACAGCTTCTCTGGCAAACCTGTACCAGTGTCTCACCACCCTCGTAGTCAAGAATTTCATCCTAGTGTCTAGTCTATCCTCTTTCAGCTTAAAGACATTCCCCCTTTTCAGTTTCTATTTCAGTTTAGTGCATGCAGCAGGAAGATATTAACAATTAATGATGTGGCAGGACCCATGATAATGTTATGTATCTTGCGGTGCACCACCTCATGCACTTGGCTGTGCTGTATGCCATTTTCTGTCCCCTCTCCCTTTCTTTAGAGCTTGCTGGCTTTCCTGTCTGTGAGATGTATCCATATAAAGGAACGCAATATTTCATAGAATACCAGACTATGTCCCCCAAGAAAACACTGGAAATATTTTCTCTTATACCCCTATGGCAAATGATTCACACAATAGTTATCGACACTGAACATGGTCTTTCACAGAACGCTTGTGTGGCAGAAACCAGGCTAGGAGGAGACAGTCAGTGACATGTACCTCTTTCCTCTCTAGTGTCTATGCTTTGAACTGGAGGTAGAGGTGACATGGGCTCTTTGTGACTTCATCCTGTCATTTTGAATCACACCAGCTTCCTTTTCAGCTTTCGTTTTTCTTTTTTTTTTTTTTGACAACAGAAGGCATAGTGCTCTGAATGGCATTTCCTGTTAAAACAGCATTCTGTGCTTTGATCAATGTGTGACAGACAGATGAAGAGTTGGGTGCAGTTTGGTTCGATTTAACAAGCCTGGGATATGAGAAAAAGGAAAGCATGAGCACAACACATAGCTCTCGAGGTATGAGTTATGGGCCAGGGCAGTCTACAAACATTCTAGATACAGAAGAGGTAGAATTTATTGAGGTAACCTCAAAACCAGACTAGAAAGAGTCATGTCCAAACAGATTTCATATACTGACGTCTCCAGCCTATAATTAACAACAGATTAAGTTGCTTTTCACAGTATATTAGTGACCGGCAACTAGGAAGGAGAGTGTAAAATTCTCAGATAAGTTTTGAGGAAAGATGCCATCTAAAACTAGTTGGGACTTGGATTTGTTTCCCTTCCAGTTTACAGCCCTGGCCTGGTTTTGAAAGAGCCACTGATGTGATCTTTGCAAGTTCTCCTTGTGTTCTATATAAATAAGCCTTGACTATACCCCTTCAGGGTCTGCCAAGAGGCATATATATCCTTCCCTATACGAGTGTGTCCGCTCTTGCCAGGTGTCAAGTGTCTGGTTTAGAAGGGGAACCGAAAATAAAATGCCACAATGGCCATCCTACAAAGATGCTCAGCTCTGAGACTGGATGGACAGCACAGTCTGAAACAGCTTCAGCACAGCAGAGGTTTTGATCTTGTCTCCAAGCAGGGCACAGAGGGGTTGGCACCAGCGAGCATAGGCATGAGGAGAACCAAGTAACCTGGAGGTCACCATGCACTGAGGGGGTTTTGCCATTCAGACATGGGTTTGTTACTGTGGGGGTAAGAAAGAAGAGCTGTGAATAGCTTCTGTATGCAGTGGTGTGCACAGGAGCTGTGGCCACTGTCAGTGCTTGGAAACTGTGGGAATCCACTGGAAATCATCCCTACAGGAAGTTCTTGTCCACATAAGGCACTTCATCTCCTGGAACCAGCCGCATGCAGTGCCATGCTCCTATGCCACAAGCTGCAGTTGGAGGGGAATTGGGAGCAGTGGTCAGAGAGGGGTCACGCCTTCCCCAGAGATGCTCTCTCACATCCTGCATGATGAGGGCTAGGATGTGGCACTCTGACAAACATTTCCACACCCGTTTCACTGTATTAAAGTGGAATTTTAAAAACCTCACTGAAACTGATGATCCTATGGAGGGAGGAACCTTAGGGTATTGCTTAGACCATCTCCTGCCCCAATGCAGGATCAACTCTGCTAAAAACTTTCTAATCAGAAAGTTTTCCTGGTGCCTCTCAGTGGAGTCCTCACTGTTCCTCAAAAGCATATTCTAGGACTCAACCATTCTTACACTTAGAAAATGACCCTGAATGTCTATCCCGAATTGCCCTTGTTGCAATTTGAGCTGGCAACATTTTGTTCAAATCTCCATGAGTAACAGAAATGTATTCCCTTCCTGTATGTGACAGCCTTTCATGTACTTGGAAACAGATGCCCTATACCTGCAGCCATCTCTTTGCCAGACTGGACATGCAAAGTTCCTGTGGTCCTTCTGCCAAGCCAGACCCCAAGCTGTTTCCAAAACCCTGCCGGAGCCTGTCCATAAGGCCTCACCTTTCTCAAAACGTAGTCCCTGCCTACATTTGTAAGTTCCCGTGGGATGTCTGCCATTTTCACAACAGCACAGCATTGACTCTTTGAGCTGCTGTACTCCCAGATCTTTATCTGTAAAAGGGCTGGCTAGCCAGCATGTTCCCATCTTGTATTTTCAAGATGATTACTCCTACCTCAGTACACCACACTTGCCCGTATGGACTTGCACCCTTCATTTTGCTGAGCCTTTTTCCATTTCACCAAGAGCATCTGACTTTGAATCATGGCCTCCAGAGCACTGGCAGCTCCTCCCAGATGGTTCCCATTTGTCAAAACATAAGCATAATTTTTATTCTTGGTTTGAATCGTTAATAAGCATTCCTAAGCGTTCACGGGACCAGGGCCCATGGGGGGGGGGAGCCAGAGGGGGGACATATAATGGGCATGCTGCTAAGGACCACTTGGTGTGGTCCCAGTGCTCACTGGAGGCAGATGGTGAGTGGGCAGCAGGACTCATAGGGTGGAGGGGCAAACCAAGCCGGCAGGGAGAGGGAACGAGGGCCAGTGCATCAGGCGGCCTCACCGCCTTTGTCCCGAGCGGAGGAGGGCGGCGGCGAGGTGTGGAGCCATGTGGCCACCGAACTGTACTGTACTGTATTGTGTCGTGTCGTGTCGTGTCGTACCGACCGCCAGCAGGCTGGGCCGGAGCATGTGCAGCTGCGGCAGGCACCTGGCTGGGCGCCGCAGCGCAGGGATGTGAACCAGGCGGGGAGGAAGGCCCTTGACTCATCAGATAAATCCAGCCCCGCACGGGGAGTGAAGGTGGAGGAGGTGGTGGCGCTGCTGCTACTGGCAGGGGAGGATGGCGGGGGACAGCGAGCAGAGGCTGGAGGAACACGGGCAGCCCAGCGGCGGCGAGCCCTTTCTCATTGGGGTCAGCGGTGGCACAGCCAGCGGCAAGGTGCGGGACTTCGCGGCGAGCTCCGGGGAGCCCCGGGGGGAAGGAGAGGGATCCCCGCGGCGCAGCCTCCCTCCGCCGGGCGCGGCGGCCACATGGCAGCGCGGCGGGTCCGGCGGCCGCTCCGCCACGTGCGCTGGCTCGGGACCTGCCGGGCCGGGCCGTGCCGTGCCGGGGGAGGTGGCAGGACTGGGAGGGCTCGGTGCTCCGGCGGGGCACGGTGCGGCCTGGGCAAGAAGGAGCAGGCGGAGGGAACAGGGCCGCCGAGGCCTCTGGCCGGGTGGCAGTGCCGTAGTCCCGGGTGCACGTGGAGGGGAGGTCGGGGGTGGTGGTGCTGGTGCAAACGTTGACCCCACCCGGCCGGGGACCCCGCTCCCGCGGGCTGCCGGAGTTCGGCGGGCAGGGCTGGGGGCTGCGCGGGAAGTGCGCGGCCCCGGCCCGGCCGCGGTGGAGGTGCCCCCCCACCCCGCAGAATCCCCCCGTCTGTGGCTTTAACCAGCGCCCCTCTCCGTCACCCCTTCACTCGGAGTGTCCCCGAGGGCCACTCGCCCCGCGGCTGATCCGCAGGGCCCGTTGGGTGCCATGCAGTCAATTAATTTATTTTTTCAGTGGTGTCGGTCGGGCATGGGGGTGCCCTTTTCCAGGTAATTTCGGGGTAGCGGGAGTGGAAAATCCGCAGTAAATGCTGACTCACAGCGGCAGAGCGACCTCCTGCCTGCGCCCAGGAGGGGATGGTCCTTGGCCGTGGCAGGTGGGAGCGGGGCGGTGGGGCCGGGGCGAGCCGCTTTGGCCGAGCTGATGCGGACTTTCTCTGGAGGGCTGCTGCACCCGAACTGCAGCGTTGGGCACCGCCGGCAGCGTCACGGTTTTATTTCTTCTTCTTTTTTCTTTTTTTTTTCTGTTGTTTCACACAGTGGGTTTTTCTTTATTTGTTTAACCCGCTGTCCTGGTATGATTTCCCTCGCCTTATTTAGGGAGCAGTAAAACCAGACCCACAGCTAATCAGCCCCTGTGCAGGGCAGCACAGACATTCTACCTGCGTTTTCAAGAGGTATTTCAGAGAGCATGAATAAATTTGGAAGTAGCAATACCTTTGCAATATTTCTTGCTAAGGAAACTGAATGTGAGCTGTCACAGGAGGAAGACAGCCTTGTATCTGTGTGTTGAGTTGTATTTGGGGGGGGGCTTTTTCTGTTGAAGAATGGCATAACAACTGTACCTCAGTCCGTAATAACAGTGTTTTAGGAATCCATCTCTCAGTACCCAGTTTATTCTTGGACTGCTGTTGCTCTACTTCAAGGGAGAAAAATCCAGATATAACAGGGGAGGGATGGTGAGAGGATGCAATCTCCTCCACTGGGAACCAAAGCTGGATTGTTTCTGCACTACAGCTCCTGGTGATTTCAAACATGCTGGGTTTGTCTGTTGTCTGATGCGCGGTTCTGCCTCTCTGTAGCTGTCCCAATAACATTGTGTCTGGCGCTGCTGAACTGTTATGTCTCTGAGCGCTGTGTCCCTGGCCCACAAGGTAAAAGCAGTGATTACGGGTACAATATGCCAGTTATTTTCAACTTCAAAGTGCAAATACTTAGTAGCAGCAGGCTGCCTTAGTAAAAAAAATAATAAATAAAAATAGGCAAACGGTTCTTTCTAGCAAGGGTGATACAGTAACTGGCTTTTCCTGTCTCTCAGCCTAGTTTTGCTTCTCCCCCCCTCCAGTGACTGATGCCTGCTAAAAACTCTGTGCAGTGCTGCCACTTGAAGGGGATCCAGCAGATCAGTACAAAATCTGTGGGAAAGAACAGAAATAAATATGCTGGGGAAAAAAAAAATTGCTTGAGGAGAAACAACAGGAAAAAAGAACCTGCGGCTTGTGCACAGAGACCCTCAAATTCACACTTGATGCAGCTGCAAGGCAAGGGTGCACTGAGGTTGTCCCACCACTGGCTAGTGACAGTGCCATGTGCTGAGTGATGCTGGGTGCGCAGCACACTCTTGGAAAGCAGTGGTGGGACTGGTGTGGTTTGCTCAGCTAAGGGCTTCTCTGCAGCTAAAATCCAGCCCAGGGCTGCCATGCCAGTATGCTAGCTCTGGGTGAGAACAAAATGCTCCTAGAGGGAAAGAAAGCAGGCACCTTTCCACTAGAAAAGTGGCAAATCCATCCGACTCATCTTCACGCCAGTTGAGGGTTGTTATAACACACCTCTTTGGAGGCACACCAGACAGAGCATAACAGAGGGCATTTGCCTTCCATGGTCCCCCCAGCACCTCCCCACTGCTGCTTTTGAGTCTGAGGTGGGAAAGAGGCTCCATAGTCCTCCCACATCCCTCTCAATGCACCAGCACAGTCAGGCTGTGGAAGGAAGGGATCCTGTTTGTATCTATCTTGCCACAACTTGTGTTGTGTGGTGCTCTGGGGAAGCTGGCATCCAAAGTGGCCAGCGTTCACTGAAAAGCTGCGGGAAGTGTTTGGCTGGTATTTCTTAAAGGCAAATTGGTGACAACTCAAATCCAAACGCTAACTGCTGTTCCCAGTTGAGCAAAAGAGGCTTGAGCAACTTTTGGTACTCAAACAGGAGGTAGCCTAAGTGCTGTCCTATTTTTTTGACTCTTAGAAGGAAGCTGGACTGTATTGGGAGCAAAACTGGGGAGCCACAGAGGTCCTGGGAAGGCTGTGGTGCTGCAGCCTCTATGAGGGCAGTCTCAGCTGCATGGTGGCTGTTTTGTGTCTGCTCAGCTGGAACAGGCTCTTCACAAGACCTGCTGGGAGGCAGCATTTCTCCCACTGTCCCCTGAAATACAAGCACTGTACAGCTCAGGCAAAGCTTAATGCAGTCTCCTGATGTGGAGGAGATGACATAGCATTAAGACCCCCTCCTGTGCCAAAGCTGGAGAGAACTGCAACTGCCTCATTTCCTTAGAGGGATTCCCAAGGTTGATTGTAGCATTTTCTTTCATCCTGCGTGCTTTCAAGCACTCTGCTAAAGTTCTTGTTTCCTTTTTATACCCTTGGTCTTTGTGCTAACACCTTCTTCCCTTCCTCCCACAAGAGATTCCTGGCTACCAAAGACTGCAGCATGCAAGGCAGGCAGCCAGGCTGCGGGCTGGAGGAAAAGACAGCAAACTGAGACGTGTTGTAAAGAGTTGGGATACCTTCTTAGGTTCTTCATGTGTCCTCACTTCAGGTTGGCTCCTGGGACCTTGCAGCTCCGCTGGCAGTGCTGGAGTGGCCGTGGAAACATATAGTGATGTTAGCTAGATGATAGATATAGCAGAGGTGGGGAGAGCTCTTCAAACTCGGACTAACACATTGATGGCTTGCCCCCACGTGCTGCAAAGCAGGGTGCCAATTGGTACTTTCCAATAGGAGTTTGTAAGAAAAGACAGATTTGCAAATGCTTTTGTTGGCTACCCAGCCCTCAAACTAGTGAGGGCTGAATATTGGTGCCACTGCGGCCCAGTGGCTGCATCATTTGGATCTTGCGTTAGAACATAAAGTTGGAAGTGCCTGTTGGAACATGCAGCATGAGAGTTTTTAGACTGCAGAGCATCAGAATTGCAGTACGTGTTCAGCCAACTGTTAATCTGTTAGGCACTTTTGCTTGAAACACCTTGAATGCTGTCTGAGGCTGAGCTGGCTGCCTAGATGAGTGAGTTAGAAGGCTGGTATCACCCAGCCAGGTGCTGGTCCCAAGGGAAGCAGTAGCTCCAGAATACAGCATGAGGCAGTTCCCTCTCCACATGGGGCTTCTTGCATGACAGCTTGCTCCCTTATACTAGGGAAGGGCTGAAGTCCCCCACAGAAGCCTGGGGTCCCCTGCTGCATTGTCACCACCTGGATGCCAGGCAAAGAAGCCTAAAGGAGACCCTGCAGTGACCCAGGGGGACCCATGGGAGAGGGACTAGCAGGGATTGCAGCAGTCCTATGTCAGTTCAGCACCATTTCCTGGTGACGTTTGTTTTGTGGCTGGCAGGAGCCCTGCATCACAAGGTCTGACTCGTTAAACACTGGTGTCAATGTGTGCTAGAGACTTGTCAAACTTTCTAGTAGAACATTATTTTGTGCCAGCCCTTGGTCAGATTTATACACAGGACATTTGATGGGTCAGCCCTTTCTTGTTACCGAATGAATATGTGTAAGGTTGTTATGGAGCAACTGTTTACCATAGTCCTGTGGACTTGGCCTTCTGAAGGCTTTGGAGTTCGCAGCAGAGGCTCTGGAAAAATACCTGTATCTCTAAATCCAGTGGATTGGGAGAGATTGTGTTAGGGCTTTTTTTTATTTCCCTGTGCATAATCTGTGTTCAGATCCTCAGTGTTTGTATGCCTGTTTATGCTCCAGCCCAGGAGTGCTGATCACATGCACAGTGTCCCAGGGTGAGTGAACAGAAATCTGGCCTAGGCTGGCTGGCCTGTGGCTCACAAAGGGAAAGGCAAGAACAGTGAACCTGCCTGGGAAAGGTCTGGGTGAAGGCCGAGGCTTTTGGTACAAGAATAGCAAGTTTCCAGTCCCAGTGCTACCATGCGGATGTGCTCCGTTAGGACTGGAAAGGATTGTGTGGGTCATGAACCAGCTCTCTACAGTTGCAAGCAGACATTTAATAGATGCTCTGTGACCCTTCCCAATTTGGTATCTACTCTGTGTATCACCCCAGTCCACCAAGCATCTCCTAATACTCTACAATTAACATAACCTTACAAGAAGAGACCAAAATCCATAACTTCTGTGCTGCAGCAGATAAACTGGAGAGAAGGGCAGCATTACCATGGCTACTGATTTCAGGGACCCAATTGAGTGAAAGTCTCTTGTGATGCCTGGGAAGGGAACTGTACTGTAGGGGATCTCAGAGAAATGCAGTGAGTAATCCCAGTGGCCCCTCATGTGATCTTAGGGAAAATCCTGTCAGATCACCAAATTGGAGGCTTATCCACAAGCATGTGATGAGGACATCTCACCTGGGAGAAGAGAAGGCTGTGTGGAGACCTCATAGCAGCCTCCCGGT